CTGTCTGTGTAATGGAGAGTGGAGTCACTTCCTAGCAGTTGGCATATGATGCGTCTTTGAACACCTTCTACTCTTATCTTGTCTGTGTTCTCCGTGTTAGAGAAGATTAAAGAGTAGTATTTAAGGGAAGGTCGTACATACATTTTATAGAGGGTAAGCATAGCCTCTGTTGTGAAGAAAGTATTCGTTACGAAACCAGTTAACCGTCTAGATTTAAAAATAATAGAGGAGGCATGTTCTTCAAAGTTTAGGCTTCCTGTGTAATTAATTTCTAGATGGTGTACTGATTCGAGTGTTTGGACTCTACTTTCATTTAAGTGAAGTCGCGGTTTATAGGGATGCTTCCCAAAGTGCATGGTCCCGCACTTGTTGAGGTTAAATGGTAATTGCCATTTTTCACTCCATATAGTTAGGTTATTGAGGTCCTTTTGGATCTGGGATAGACTTTCGCTTAGTGTCTCAGGCTTATAGCTGTATACTATTTTGAGATCATCAGCATATAAGTATGGTTTCCCAAATTCTATCGTGTCACATATATCGTTTATATACATAAGGAACCAAAGTGGACCTAATACGCTTCCCTGGATGACTCCACTGGTGATTGGTCTAGGGGACGAGAGACAGTCATTGTACTTTACCATCTGTTTACGTTCTGTTAAGAACGAAGCAAACCATGAGTACAGTGGGTTGTGTATTCCGAAGGACTTTAGTTTGACGAGTAGCCTTTTGTGTGGGACCTTATCAAAGGCTTTCTTAAAGTCTAGGAATAGGACTGATACAAGGAGTTTGCTGTCTCGTTTCAGAGTTATATCATTCAGATAGTTTACTAGGCATGTATCGCATGATCTGGACCTAAGAAATCCATGCTGGGAGGTCGAGATGAGATTATTAGTTAGTAGATGTTGGACTACAGCCGACTTAACTACTTTTTCCATCACTCTGGATACCACTGAAGTTATGTTTATAGGCCGGTAATTTTCAACGTTTGCTTCAGGTCCTGTTTTAATTTTGGGAATGATATGTGTAGTTTTCCAGGCAGTAGGGTAACACGCTGAAGAGAGTGATATCGCAAATAGTTTGAGAAGCAAAACACACATATCATCACCTCCGCGTTTTAGCATGCTAGATGGAATACCATCTGGTCCATCAGTGTAGGAGTGTTTCAATGTACTGATTGCCTTGGAGATATTTTGTACATTGAATTCTACATTAGTAATTTCACAGGGAGTTAGTGGGATTAGTTCTGAATCATTAAGTGTTTTTTCGTTAGTTAGTGAGAAACAAGAATGTTCACTAAATAATTCTGTGATAAGTTTGGGATCTTCGTATACTTGTATGCCTTTAATGAATATACTCCCTCTGGATTTGGAGCGTTTAAGTTTATTTTGGAGTAGTATGGTGAGTGCAGAGGAGTTATTATTAAGTTCGACTGCACGTTTTTCCTGTGTGATTGCTTTTTGTTTACTTATTGTCTCTGTTCGGACAAGTATTTCAGTCATCGTTATTAAAGAGGAAAAGTCATTTAAGTTCTGGAATCGAGGACAATTTCTTTGAAGACGTCTTCTTGTACTGACCGGTTTATAGAGATCATTGGGGGGGCGTAGGTCTACAGTATTCTAAAGGTGCGATGTTGTTGATGATACTTTTGATGTTGTAATAAAATATATTGGTTAATGCGTAGGTATTGTTTGAGGTAAAGAAAGTTCTCCAATCAGTGCTTCTTAGGTAATTGTGGAAGTTATTACAATCAACCTTGCGATAATTTCTACGAAGTGTTACGGTTTTACTTCTATCGGTTGTGGATTTTGTATTAAGGCTGCATATGACAATGTTATGATCACTACCTGGAAACTCTTTTCCAATATACAAAGTATTGGGGATGAGGCCACTGGTAAAGACTAAGTCTAAGATGTTTTGATGTCTGGTAGGGCTATCGACATACTGAGTCCACTGTCCAAGCTCTTGACATTCAATAAATGATTCATTTAGGTATGAATCGTCTATAGAAACTTACCAGGCCGTTAAACGTTCGTAATTGCTTGACGGTGGTCGGTTCTGGGTAATCCAGAATGGCTGCCGCTTTGGTTCTAAGAGGTCGAATGCCTTGCGCATCTATAGTGTGTCCAAGGAAGTCTAATGAGTAAATTCCGAGCTAGCATTTCTGAATGTTTACAGTAATGCCATGTTTTTGTAGTCGTTCGAAAACAAGATCCAGATGCTGGAGATGCGATTCTCTGTCCGGACTTGCTATTAAACAGTCATCAACATACGCATGTACGAAGTTGAGACCTCGAAAAACGTCGTCTATGAATCTTTGGAATGTTTGAACAGCATTCCTTAGACCGAAAGGCATTCGCGAAAATTCATAGAGTCCGAAGGGAGTTATGATAGCTGTTTTCGGTATGTCGTCAGTAGCCATAGGGATTTGGTTATGCGCTTTAACCAAGTCGATTTTCGAAAAGACAGTTGTACCTTTCAAGGTAGCTGTCAAATCGTGAATGTGAGGCAACGGTAACGATCGGGAATGGTTTTCGCGTTCAATCGCCGATAGTCACCAGTTGGACGCCAATCGTTGCTGTCCTTTTTAGGGACCATGTGCAACGGAGATGCATATGGGCTACTTGACGGTCGTATGATTCCTAAGTCTATCATATGGTCGAACTCGTTTTTCGCTAACCTTAGCTTTTCGGGAGCTAGTCGTCGTGCTTTAGAGAATACTGGTGGTCCTGTAGTCGTGATGTGATGTGTAACATTGCTGGTTACACACGGTAGTTTCGGTTGAGTTTGTTGTATCCCAGGGTACTTATCGAGTAGTGGTTGATAGAGTGGGTCTATCATATGTTTAACTGTGACTGGGGATACTCTGCAACCAGTAAAAGAAGTTACGCAAACGGACAAATTAGTGTTTCCGTCTACTAGCCTCCGTTTGCGAGTGTCGATGATCAGATTGTGGTGTTGTAGAAGGTCCATACCAATGATTGGCATAGAAACATCTGCAACAACGAAAATCCAGTGAATGGGTTTGCGTAAACCCACGTTAAGGTAAACGTACCTTTTGCCATACGTAGCGATCGGTTTTCCGTTTGCCGCCTGTAAGTTTAGGGTCGATTCGTGTAGTCGGTCGTTAGGATTTGCTGGGAGAACGCTAACTTCTGCGCCAGTGTCGACGAAGTAGCGAACTCTCGCTGTCACATCTGTGACGAATAACAGACGGCTTTGTTCGCCGGCTACGGTTGCCGTTAACGCGTGCCGGCTTGGAAGATTCCCGAATCGCTTTTCGAATCAGTCGGTTTCGTGTTGGGGAGATTGCAGGGTTTTCTGCAATTTCTGGAAAACTTTCCATACTGGTTATGATACAAGCACCAGTCGGGGTTATCTGTCTCTCGTGGTCTAGAGACAGATCGCTTACGTGAAATGCTTCTACGTGCTGTGCGCGATCTCGTACGGTCGGTACGAAGACTAAGATAACGCGTGTGTGACATAACTCTGTAATGTCATTCTGGGTCGTTTGAGGCTTTTCTTTGACTGAAAAACCTCGATATTAGAAGATTTTGTGATTTCTATAATGCGGTCGACAGATGCAGCCAGCTCGTCTAAGGCGTTGTTGTGAAACGAGACCAACACAGCTTGCACCTGTTGAGGAACTTTAGATAATAAAAGTTGTTTGAATAGGCCATCATCGAGGGTTCTTTGGCCCATAACCTCTCTCATTCGTCGCAACTTGTTCGTCGCAGAACAGTGTTGCAGGTCGATGTTATTGAAGAGTTGGTCTAACCTTTGTATAAAAAATTAAAATAAGGCAATGATATAGAGGATCCCAAAATGGAACAGACTCACAGTTTACGATTTGGTGTACCAGATCACGTCGCGCTCACCAATGAAGATGCCACAGGTATTCGGAGTTCGACAACGCTTCAACCATTTACACCTTCTAATAGGAATCATACCCATCAAGTGTAATCAAAAGACAGAATCGAGAAGGTTCGAAGATATATTTGATAGGCTATCAATATATCGAGGATCGTCTGAACTAATCTGGCTAGCGATTGAAGGGGTTGTTGAGCACGGTGTTCCCACTCGTGATCTGGTTCGGATGCATGACCGAGAGCCTTCAGCTAGGTAAGTCCATTAAAACTAATGTGGTCAGCATTCAATGTCGAAAACGTGCAGAGCTATTTATTTTGGGGATTTATTTACCGCTACAAAGCTGTTTCTTTCGAGTATTTAGTTACCGCTACAAGACTTCCCCCCCCGATAATTTACATGTTTTGATCAGCTAGACATTTTCTGATAAATAAGAATATCAGGATTTAAATTAGAATGTGTTCTCAATTTTCACCCATTTTGCAAAAGGCAACTCAGAAAATTGGATTCAAACGGTCAGGCGCTTTCCATACATGGGAAGTGGACCAAGACGATGGACAAAATTGTGGATCCCAATCTCCCAAGTTTGGGGAATTTCGTGGAAACCTCCAAAGTTTAACGACCTTGACCAAGGTTAAAGAGGAATTTTCGGGAAATAGTTGGGGATTTTCTCAGACCTGGGGAAAATTTGAGGTTTCGGTGCCATTCTCCCGATATTTCCCCAAAGTTCACTATAGCGGCTTCCCCAAAATTCGCCGAAAGTTGTTCAAACGTTTCCCAGAATTGGGAGCTCGGGGTGGTCTGCATTATCTGTGTTATTATGATTTACTAGGACGCCTTAAACTATATACACTAGTATTGATTCATTATATCGTAAATATTAAGTTCGTTTATTATTTTCTCTACTTTTTTCCTACCTACGACCAATTATTTGAGAGGGATTCTCAAAGCGTTTAGGAACAACGAATGATTTACGTCTTACGTTTCAATTTCGACAAGAGGTCCTGGATTACTGGGATTCCCCACTAGAATACGTACTATAAGTACCTATGTTTGATAGGAAAAAATAAGATCAACTCATCATAATATTACAAATGGCAAGGATTAACATAGGCCACCTGACCTTGTATTTTCACAATTGAATTTGAATGTAAAATTTTAGACGTTTCGAACGTCATGGTAATTACAGTTCTCATTGCAATGTGGGTTAACTTATCGAGACATTAATGACTTATTTGAATTTAATTGATATATATATATAACTCGATTGACTATAGTCAATCGAGTTAAAACTGTAACTGGTGGGATATCTCTGAGTGGTGTTAAGGTGATCTTGAGGCAATTCATCTACAAACTAGGATCGAAAGAGGGTTATTAGCTAGTTTGGTGAATAACGATTAGGATTTAGAGTTAAAGGTTAGTGTTCGTGGATTTGAGTTAAGGCTTTTGTCACGGGCTTATAAATGCTGATACCAGACTTCAACTCAAGGAACCAATAAAGGGGAAATATAGCAGACAAAAGTGTAAATAATGGGAGGGGGTCGATTTTGGGCAAAACGTAAACAACTCAGCGACATAAAGAGGAAAATCGACATTTTTTCTCCCTCTGACATGCGAAAAAGCAGACATTTAGGCACGTTTCCCCATTATTTCCACTTCATTTTCCAATATATTTTCCCCTTTTATTTCCGCTTTATCGGTTACTTGTGAAATCGTAGACTTCAGTCCTAAATCCCACATACTAACCACGTCTCATTGCTATTATTTTCATGTCTATCATTGAATTGCCCTTGTAGTTCAGTTTTACCGCAACCACTAACTAAATACTACTATATATGTTCATGTTTGTTTAGAAATCTGTGGTGATATTCATCCATAGTGATGTGTAGACAGAAAAGTTAGTTAACCATGTAAAAGGCTGTGCTTGAACAATGTTTTCATGGTTCAAAACAGTTAATCTTCAACTAAAATATCTACCAAAGCGTCATCTTGTAAGCCATTTTTTACAAACTGGATAGTATGTGAACAAGTTATTAAGATCTCCTAAGTATATAGGGGAATGTAGACATGTATTAAATAGCAGTAGATCATAGTGACAATCTAACTGAAGACCAGCTGCACGTTTTAGAAATGTGGTTTGCAGAAAAACTAAATTTCTTGGGACTCATTATCTTTTCTGAATGCAGTTTCGTTATGAATCAGAAAATATGGTTTATTTGTATTACTTGTTTGTGGTGCACTGTATATGTCTGGTTTTGAATTCCTGTGTTCTTTTTTAGTTTGAGTTTAAATTCTATGCGAACAGTGATGACAAAGAATTCAAGCGACATGATACTGTGACGTATTCTAACTTAGTTCAATCACTCACTTTAAGTGATGGTAAGTTGAGTCTGTGTTATCAATGTTTCGCAGGTTACAGAGATGTTTTAGGTTTGCGCACAGATTTTCATGCAATCGCAAACGGTTCAAGTAAGTTTACATACATTTTTATAAATTATTACGATCCATTACAAATCTGCTTATGTGTGTTACTATGTACTGTGTATTTATAATGGTTTTTATTAAGGTGACTCGAAACCAACGTAAATCCAGTAAGCAAACATTTTGTCTTTTACAGTATATTTGGCTTGCCTCACTTTCCTAGTGTCTGTTTACATGATTCTATTTCATTTAACTACAGTCAAAAAATAGTATGAAATGCAACAAGCTGACTAATAATTGTCTCGTTTTAAATATTCTGACAATTCTAATTTATTGCAAAATAACCTCATTTATGCAAAAAGTCCAAACAAACGTGCTATTAGATGGTATATATTGTGTCTGACATGTTTTAGACAAAATCATTGATAAGCTAACGTAAGAAAAATCTTGATGTCAATTAGGCTGAGTGCATTCGCTATTTTAACTCTGTAACCGGACTTGTTCTTTGTAGCAGTTTAGTTACGCTGTGCAGTCACATTCTGATATCAAAGAAACACTCAATGCTAAACGGAGTTTCACTAAAGCCTATCAGGACGAAATGTCGTAGTAATAATGACTAAAAAGTATCAAACATGGATACCTCTAAATTCTCTTGCACACTTCGAAATTGAATTCAATCATCTATTAATGGTTCTCGCCTTATCATTGACCCTTATTTGATCTCCAGGAGTCTTTCTCCAAGCTATGTTTTAAAGCTCACAGTATTTGACCCATGTATCAAGTCTAATATGATTGACGTATGCTATCTCCGGAATTTGCATAACTGACTCATGGGTGATCAGTTTAAGCGCCTGGGTAGTTTTGCTATCCATTACAATGTAATGTGAGTATATGAAAATATACTTCCTAGACAGATCACACTGGCCAAAAACATGGTCATTCATCAGCCAATATAAATAAGCTCAGCCCTTCCTTTATATGTCTTTGATTTCGTTATTTATTCCTCATGATCCTACTAGTGTAAGTATATTATTAAAACTGAATGCAGATAAGTTGTTCCTGGGCTCGATTCAGATTGCGGACTCTATGTACAGTTAAATCAAATTAGACAATAGGAGCTCGAAAGAGGGGTATAAACCGTATTTTTCAATTTGAAGCTTTGCATACATTTCCACTAAGTAGATTCCAAATAAAATCCAAGATCAGTTATACTAAAACAATTATAATCTCCTTCAAAGAGCTAAGTACTTTGATGTAGTGATTATGACGGGTGATTATAATTATAATCACTTTGGTGTATATATAATTTATTAAGTAAACTTTTCTGTCTGCTTAGGATGTATATCCTTAATATATTTATGTTCTTCTCCAAGTTATGTTTTGATTTTGTGACTAGTCGAGTGGTATCCATGAATACTAGGCAGTAGAAGACGTAATACTCAAGTTGTTGTATTGTTGATATGCTCTTTAAGGCGACTCACTTTAATAATTTGGCTTTAAGTATATGGATGACGTATTACAAACTAAACAGGTGTGCTATAACCTGAACTTTCGCTGCTCAATTATAAATATCGATGCAATTGTAAAAACATAGGTAGGCGCAATTAGCAAAATCATGAACTTACTTTCCAACACTATAGGCCCAATATTCTCAAGTAAACTCCCAGCTATTAGGACTGAAGGGACACTAATTTTAGCTGCGAATATACGTATTTTATGGGGAAGTTAAAACTTTTATATACAGATCTCTTTCAGAGATTAGTGGTTGCATTTAGATGATTCTAACTTAAAACAAGCTTTGTACTAAACAGATATCAACACTGGGTGGATAGTTTTCACAGTACAGTAAGATAATATACTAAAATATTTATTAACTGAATTTTCAAAGATAAAACTAAATGTTAGACCGGCCGATTATCAAAGTTAATCAACTAATGATATATCTCTTGGTCGCTCCTTATAGATTCTTTTTTTCCCAGAGAACGCAAAAAAGTAAACATGACTAAATTGATATTTAATAATTGTGAAAAGTGTACTCTGCTTTAGAAATATTCTTTACATAATCAGTAGCAAACCGATTGGATGATTTTTTACGAGGGTGACTTCTACAGATTAAAATGACTCAAATACCAATCTTATATTCTACTCTAATATTTCATAAGCATCATATCAACCGTGGCAATGCAGAAATGTACTTGATAACTAGGTGGAATAGTATACTTTTCTATGAATGGGCGTTCTGAGAGAGCGAAATTAATTATCTGTGGGTCCTCTGTGCCCACCAATCCGGTTTTGGCGCCGGATATTTGCTTTTCGTTCTCTCAATTTCGTAAACAATGCCCCCGCCACAAGGCGGTGAGTGGGACTTCTTTCGAAGTAGTTATGTAGTTATAAGAAATTCAAATTGAGCACGATTATGGGCATCTGTCGATTTCATTCCTTGTCAGTTGTCTCCAAACAATTCTTCCACCTTCCAACAAGTTCTTCGTTCTTTTGGATGATTACAACCAATAGTCACCAATTTTGTGGATTTGTGCCGTGTTGTAACGTGAATACCGTCACTTATTTCTAAGCGTATGCGTTTTGAAAGTGACTTAATATCGGGAATTTATGTCTTATTTGATTGCTTTTTTCCATTAGTCTCTTTTTAGTCTAGAATGGAGCGCGTATAAATAAAGTTACTGAATCAACGTTATCACGGCAACCATATGATGCTTCAAAAGCAACAATGGTCGTCTCGTCTCATTTAACTTAAATGGATGTATCTTAGTAATAGAATGAAGTGTTAAGTTGTTTACTTACCATTTGCAAGGGTATTCGTTTTCTCACAATGATTTTTTTTAGGTAATTGACTGTTTTAAAATATATTTAAGTACTTCTGAAATGCTAGACAGTAATAGAATTTATTTATCATTATTTTATTACAGAACTGTGGTACATTGCTGAATCTGTTCTCGATGATTATCTACGCAAACTGCCCAAAAGTGAACTCAATGTATTCGACGCTGTTCACGCACGTGAGGATGTCAAACCTGGCTTCATTGAAGGTGGTTTTACCCTGTGGGATGGCAGCAAGGATCTCGTCGATTACATATCAAAATATTTTTCGGAAAGGATGTGTGGAAAAAACGTCTTAGAAGTAGGTTGCGGTTGTGGACTACCAGGTATATTCGCTATCAAGGCTGGTGCCCGCTTAGTTAGGTTCCAAGTAAGCGGGTTGTTTTAAGTCAGCGTTGTGTTGGCGTAATATTATAGCCTTATCTTGATAAGAAATATTTGGTCGAGTTGCATAACGTCCTCGGGTTGCGATTTAAATATTGAATGAAAGTATTTTATCATAGGAGTTTTAAAGTTTATTTCCGAAAGTGTCTAGGTAAATTATATCTGATTATTTAACATAAAAGCTCACTAGCATCTTAAAGGTCGAAAGGAATGGTGAAGTCCTATAGAAAGTCTGCATGTGGTGAATGTTTTTGTGAAGAGTTTGCCACACTTTACTACATTTTCTCACCAGTATTTTTACTATTTTCTTTTTTAAGGATTACAATTCCGAAGTTTTAAAGTGCTGGACTATTCCTAACGTCATCATTAATTCAGGATCTCAAAATGATGCTGATAGCCACAATGAACACACTCAGTTGGAATTCTACAGCGGGGACTGGTTTCATCTTTCAAAGCTTTGGCAGTCAAGCGCCAATGTGAAGTTTGACTATATCTTTACTAGTGAAACAATTTACCGCACAGACCTATATGAAAGATTACACAACATACTTGAAACTAGTCTATGTCAATCTGGGATCGTTTTGTTAGCTTGTAAAGCTTCTTACGGACCTGGAGGTAACATTTTTGACTGGTTAACTTATGTCGAGAATCTAGGCGTGTTTCAGACAACTACTTTCAAATTGACAACTTCTGGGGTAATGCGATACATCGTGAAAATGATCAGAGCTTAATTTGTTTCGATCAACTTGTTTTGTATATTCTTTTTGTTCCGACTTGATAAATAAGATAACAGTTGACCGTAATTTTAGCTGTTTAAATAGTTTGGGAAGCCTAATGTCACGAAATCTTTAATGGCATCTTTGATCTTTGTTTAGCGGGTTTTATATTAGACGAAGATCACGACATAAACACACCGTTTGTTACGGTTTTATCTGTTAACAATATTACGTTTCGTAAACGTAATATTTCGTGTAAATTAAAATTTTAAATCTAGTTTTCACAAATACGTCCAGGTCGCAGCTACATGAGTAATATTCAAACTAAACTGACAAACATAAAAGTAAGTACCAACTCTACTTAATTTTTTTTTCGTCAGTATAACTTCACTTAGGTGATATAAAAGAGTTATGTCGGACATTGTAGTGTTCAGTATGTGACAAAGACATTGATTTGTGCACCCAAAAAAGATTAGCGAATTGTAAGTCAAACTTATCTGCTTCTTTTTGAGTCACATTTTGGGTATAAGTTTGTCTATATAACAGCTAAGTTTCTACTATAATGATGAGTAATATCAAAGTTGATGAATCACAGCAGCAACCTGCATGATTAACTTTATAAGCAATAGGCAGAAAATGGTATAACGTTCGGAATGCAACGGGTTTCGTTATGCTCTGATAATCTCTTTTTTATTTGACTTTGGAAAAATCTTGATTTTGTGTAAACTGCCGGAATCCTAGCTTCCTCCAAGTTAACTTATTTATCGAATGAAGTGTTTTACATCTGAGCACAATTAGTTGTCTGCCTGCTTAACACCGATAAATAGTCTGAAAACTGTTGAATGTTTTGTGCAAGAACAGTTATAGCTCCATCAGTTCAAAATTATTTTGGGTAAAAATATAAATTATCGTTAACTAAAGCTATCCATTGATTCGGACTTCCTAGTGTAACACCTGCAAAGTGAAATGCATGTTTGTAAATACCTTCCGGTTCGTTTAAATTCAGGTGTCATAATCCACACAAACTTCTACCATGTAAATCATACAAACCCATGTATATATCTGTTTAAAATATACAATTAAGTTTTTGGGAAAACTTATTTCAATTGACGTTTATTTTGTATTACGATGTGATTACGTACAAGTACAAAGTTATTATTACTTACAACCACTTAAACTTCTAATCTAACTAAACATATAGAAAGTTATTTTTTAGTGCACTTCAATTACTCATATCGATTAAAGTTGTAAACATATTGATAGAAACCAATTATTCTTCAACCAGTCTGATATTTTCTCATATATGCCTTCTACCTCGAGCATTTTCTATGCATTAAGGTCGTATATATAATGCCGCCGAAAAACTAGAATGTAGCAAAAAGTTCTATAGTTGCTACAACCTATGAACTGTATATTTACGGATTCATAAATATTTTATTTGGTGGTTTTATGCAAGCATATATATGAGCAGGCGACAAAAGCCGAAATACATATAATATCGCGGACTGTATTCGCAACCAGCTGGTTAAGCTGTGCAACAACACCAGGTTAATAACTACATATTTATAAGCTGATATGATTGATGTTTGCAGTTGCAACAGATCGCAGAAATCGTTAATTATTAAACTGAACTGGATTGAAGACATGACTTTAATCTCGATTTCGGTAGTTTTAATAAGATTTAGATATATTTCAGTAAATCTAGAATGACTGGCTACGAGCATTCCATTAAATGACATATTAGAGATGTAGTTTTTCTTAGAACAGTACATTTGTTATTTGTTGTAAAGAACTTGTTAACAGATAATGTTTGTAAAAAGAACGTGATATACTGCTTATCACAGCTACGTGTTATGTACCACTCTCTGTCGTCAGTATTAATTTTGTCGTGTAGATATAGTTTGGGCTTACTAAAAAAGCCTAGGACTTATCAGTAGCGACGGAGAAAACTACAATGAACATTTCTTTTGAACAGTTTGAAGCCTACATAGAGCATCAAGAGAAACAGTTTGAAAAGTCTCAAACAAGAATCATAGAAATCGTTCAGATGTGTCTGTCTCAGCAAAACCCCTATTTTGGTGAGTTTGGAACTTACAAGGTTAAACCAAACAAAGTTAACGCAATGACAGCGGTAAGCCATCATTCCCATGCTGGTTGTGGCGGTTAGTGCTTCAAAAGATTTTTCCCGTTTCGAAATCATTGTTGTACTACATGTTCTAGAAAAGGTCATTGATAAGTCTTTCAACTGAACGTTTCTAATAGTCAGTCAGTCATTAACAACGTAGAACTTCGTACGTACGTACATCAGTTCAAGTTGCCATACCACATTAGCACAGAGATGCAGTTGTCGATTCAAATCCCCTAGTGGTAGAGGTAGTAAGAGTATAAGCAGCAATCTGGAAGATTAGGGTTTGGAGATGTTATATAAAGGGTGTAATCCAGTGAAATAAATTTGGGAGAAGAAAAAAGAGACAAGGAGGAATCAGGAGATTAAAATTTGGGAGAACACAAAGAGTGGATGCACCTGCGCCATTACAAACGATTTTGAGCCATGTCATTCAGGGTCTCTAACCATCGGTTGCTATCATCTCGCGGTCCCCAACCAGGTAGTCTACACCTACCGACATGACTCAGTCCACTTGTCAGTGACTTCATGGACATGGGCATATGTAACACATGTCCCAACCATCTCAACTGATGAAGTTTCACCACTGCATTAATTGATTTGCCATCCTTAGCTAGTACCCGTTTCCTAACAACAACGCTTCTAATAACTCCGGGCTAAATCTACACGGCAGCTTGAATGTAAGAGAAGAGGTACGAAGGCCGATGATAAGGATTTATTAAATTCCCAAAATAAATCAAAGTGATTTGAAAACACTACACTTTATATTACTTATTTACGGTTAGATTAACAGACAGATTTGTATTTAACGATAATAATTCAGTAAATTACTGTGTAAGTATATGTCATATTATGCAATTAAGCATCTGTAATCCTTCTTAAAATGTTCAATCCATATCACACACGATTGGAAAAAGAAGTTTCATATCCCATTCGCATTCCAATCGATGACGTCATTACTCACTGTGTCAGTCATAAAGAGAGTCATTTTAAAGCCAGAAAACGCCACTAACAACCGAAAGCATATTCTAGAAGATTCAAACCGCGAACGACCAAGGTAACAATTACCCTTAACCGGACCGGTTCATATAACCGTAGAAAATATGTTTATCTCATGATTAATGGGTATGATGCCCGTATGCGGCTTCTAACATCTCGCTTATAAGCAGAAGAATATGAGAGTTTTGTTAGACCTCAAATATATTCAACTCAACAGTCAGCCCATAGTGCTTCTGACGGAAAGCCAACTGTTGTTGGAGAATTACATTACAGTCATTGAGAGAAACATAACAGAAGAGAGCATGTTGTATATCACTGAACACCTTGGGACTTGATTGGATCAAAAAATTAAAATCAACAGATCGTCCCATAAACCAAATCTGCAGTTATGTGGAGGCAATGAGAGACTACCACAAAACCCAGCTGGCATACTATTGAGCAGAAAGTATTTGATGACGTTCCTGGAGTGTAAAAGATATTCCTACCTCTCGGTTTCGGACGAAGTCATTATTCCGATCCAAAAGACCTGTGCCTTATGCTGTTCTCCCAGTAGTTGAACAATAACTCGGACGACTTCGAGAAATGAGTATTATTGGACCAGTGAACTTCTCAGATTGGACTGCGCCGATAGTGGTAGTTAAGATATCCAACGGTAGCGGTCGCTCATGTGCCAATTACTTCAGTGGGCCAAATAAAGTTCTAGAAACTCACCAGTATCATTTACTCTTGCCAGAGATCTCTTCACCAAGTTGTACGCTGGTGTTTTTTGGGAAGTTGGATTTCTTAGGAGCTGATGAGTGTAAAGATTCCATCATCAATACAAACAAGGGTCTATTCCAATATAATCGATCGGCCTTTGGAGTCAAGACGGAAGTCGCTATATTCTAACAAATTATGGATACCATGTTACAGGGTATTTCAGGAGCGTGAGCTTATTTGGATGACATCATTATGAAATTACAAAAAAACTTGACCTAGTGCTACCACACATATCTGGATATGGTTTTCGTATCGGTGCAGAAACGTGACTTTTATATGCAACAGGTACAATATCTTGGCCTCATAATAGATAAAGGACGACGACCAGATCCAGAAAATATCGATGCTATAAAAACCATGCCTAGACCAACTGAGATTTTTACTCTGCGATCTTTCTTTGGACTGGTTAGCCATTACGGGACTTTTCTTCTTAGTCTTCATTGAATCACTTGCTGGTAAAGAACTCAAACCCACAAACTCCAAAGCAGCTTTCGAGAAAGTCAAGCAATCCCTAGCCTTCATATTCTTTTGTACACATTATGACTCCTCCTTACCTATTGTGGATGCTTAAAATTATGGTATTGGGACACTCATCTTTCATATTTTCTCCGACAGATCTGGAAAAGTGATCTATTTGGTCAGACTGTTGACAACGACAACGTAACTACAGCCAAATAGAGAGATCATAAACCATTACTAGCCATATTTGGGTTAAGGAAAGGGATTGCTACCTACACGACTCATCAGCTGCAACATTGGGCAACCATACTTCCAGGCAACGATTTTAGGATCAAGTACCAGCCTATTACAGATTTTGGACACACTGATGCCTTATCGAGATTAATAGGTAAAACTGGGAAAGAAGTTCGTCGCCTATTGGATGATGAAGTTGATGGACTAACGTTTACTTTCAAAGAAACTATTAGAAATGGCTAGACATTAATTCAAGGGGTTTTTCTTTATTAGATGGCCAAACCACCGCTTTCAGAGAGAACGTTTGAAATACTTTCGTCAACGTGACTCACTAACGGCTGTTGACTCATATGTTATATTCGATGAACGGATTTCCCCAAAATTCCCGCGCCAAAAAGTGCTCAAGCAATTCCAGTGGTCACCCTGGGATCAATAAAATAAAATGGTTGGCTCAAAGCTACGTCTTTTAAGCATCAATGGACAGAGATATCGAAGACAAATGCCATAACTGTCCGTCTTTCCTGCGAGCCGTCAAAAACCCTTCGAAAAGTGGCCTAACCCTGCTGGACTCTGGGAAAGATTTTATGCAAATTTCGCAAGTCCAGTCCTAGGAAAAAGTTTCTAGTTATTGTGGATGTATTTACAAAATGGCCCGAAATATATATCATGTCGAACTGTACAGGCAAGGGAACAATCATCAAGTTGTCTAGTCTGTCCAGCTATTCCGGAGTTCCAGATACTTTGGTGACAGGTAATGACTCTCAATTCGCCTCTGACTTGTTCGGACAATTATGTGGTGTGAAGGAATAACTCATCCTCTCTACCCTATCATCACCAATCTAACAGACAAGCAGAGCGCTTCATAGACACTTTCAAAAAGCACTGCTTAAGGGAAGAGAGAAGACTCCGAGTTAGCCAACCAATAAGTTCTTACGTCTAACCCAACCCTGTTGTGCCGGATGGGAAGTCATATTTGGGAGAAGCACCTGGACGGTTTCTAACGCTATGCTCCAGTCGCAGTCTTGACACGGAGAGAAGAGTATTTATGAAGTCGGATCATGGCCAAAATCGATGGGAACCAGGGATTATTGTGCTAAAATTAGGTAGAGTTTTGTATAAGGTGGGAGGAGCCTTCCGAACATTTGTTAGGCATACGAACCAGACTCATAAAGATAAAAGAACGATAAACACTAGAGGTGGTCAAACGAATCTGCCACTGGATATACTTTTGGACACTTGCAAGGTGAGGACTTGGAATGAAAACGAAAGAAACACATTAAGAGAAGGACGATGCCGCCGCAGATCAGTCACCAGACTACAGGTAAACGCGAGAAGCCATGCTTTTTAGCGATATTGGAGGGGTCCCAAAGATTATACCTCGACAAGCCCATAGAGACACAGAAAACTTGTTGAATCTTCGCATAAAGACCTAGAAAACACAGAGTCACTTGCCACGGTTTTGATCCGATAATTACCTATGAGGCTACTATAGTTAGTATGGTTCCGGAAGCTCAAGGGCGTTTGAAATAGTATGAATACCCCTATTTTTCTGTACCTTAACTAACTTAGGAGTAAAACGTCCTCTCTACACT